ACGCCACGCCACGCCATGCCACGCCACGCCACGCCACGCCACACCATGCCACGCCACGCCATGCCACGTCACACCACGCCACACTCGCGCGAAACGACAGATATAAAAATCACACAGAACGGCGAGCGGGTTTAGGCCTCCCCTGTTGTAACTATCTCGCGGCGTCTCGTAAAATGCGAGATATGCGAATTAGGGAGGTCGGTTATTCTCGTCTCTTGTGTCTTTCGCTCTCTCTCTCTCTCTCTCTCTCTCTCTCTCTCTCTCTCTCTCTCTCTCTCTCTCTCTCTCTCTCTCTCTCTCTCTCTCTCTCTCTCTCTCTTATGTCTTTCGCTCTCGCTCTCCTCTCTCTCTACTCTCTCTCTCTCTCTCTCTCTCTCTCTCTCTCTCTCTCTCTCTCTCTCTCTCTCTCTCTCTCTCTCTCTCTCTCTCTCTCTCTCTCTCTCTCTCTCTCTCTGCTTTTTACCATGCTCCCTTTTTTAGTCCCGGATTTAACGGTTTTTTTTTACACGTCTTTCATGTTTTATACATATTTACGCGCAGCTGTTTTTTTTTCTCTCTTTTTTTATTCTACTCCCTCGTTTGTCTGTTTCTGTCCACCCCATTAGTCTATCTATCTATCTATCTATCTATCTATCTATCTATCAACCTACCTCCTCTATCTATCAGTCTCCTGCTTTTATTCCTTATCCTCTCCACTCCGAATGTATGCAAATCATCCCCCAAACGACGAGCAAACGTGAATACGTGTTAACGAATTTATGACATACGAGAAAAAAAATCCAATTATGGCTTCTAACCGCATGTCATCCCAATTTTCAACTATTTGCGGACAATTAACAATTACTTCAAATTTGCTGAAACTCCCATTCCTACATTTACGTCCCGTTGAATCGTTAATGAAGAGAGAGAGAAAAAAAGGAGAAAATAAAAAAGGGAGAAAAGTACGTATAATATAAACAAATTACGGAGGAATTCGTCCGTAACATGAGAAAGCACATTTCCTATCATTTAAAAAAAATGAGAAAAAAAGGAAAATAATAATAATAATAAAAAAGGGAGAATATTACTTCCGGGAACATCTTCAATCAAATAAATTAACTCGGCGGCCGCGTATTCATGACCCATAAAAAGAGAGAAAATCCCGGAGTCACGCAGAGCCGCCGCGTCGACCAATCAGCAGGCGGGAAAGCGGGCGCGTGACGTCACAGGTGAATCCACGACGTCACGCTGCTGTTACGCGAACGCACCGTGTTTTTTTCCCTACTTTATTTTATTTATTACTTTCTGTTTTTTTTTTTGTTTTTTTTTATTCTCTCCACTTCGCCTTTAATCTCTTCTCCTTCGGCGCTCCGTATCTTATCTCGGGCCAGCGATAACGACCCACAATCAACAACTTAATGGCCAATTATATCTCGTGGTGCTCGACGCAAATTGCTTAAAGAACTCTACTATTACATGACGTTCTCTCTCTCTCTCTCTCTCTCTCTCTCTCTCTCTCTCTCTCTCTCTCTCTCTCTCTCTCTCTCTCTCTCTCTCTCTATTTCTCTCTCTCTCTATTTCTCTCTCTCTCTATTTCTCTCTCTCTCTCTTTCCCTCTCTCTCTCTTTCCCTCTCTCTCTCTCTCTTTCCCTCTCTCTCTCTCTCTCTTTCTCTCTCTCTCTCTCTCTCTTTCTCTCTCTCTCTCTCTCTCTCTCTCTCTCTCTCTCTCTCTCTCTCTCTCTCTCTCTCTCTCTCTCTCTGACTCTTATTTCTCTCCTAGTAAAACATACAGGATCATCCGTACGTATGAGAGAGAGGAAGATGAATGAGAAGAAAGAGGAAAGGAAAAGGGAGAAAATGAGGGATTGAGAGAGAGAGAGAGAGAGAGAGAGAGAGAGAGAGAGAGAGAGAGAGAGAGAGAGAGAGAGAGAGAGAGAGAGAGAGAGAGAGAGGAAGAGAGAGAGAGAGGAAGAGAGAGAGATGAAGAAAGAGAGAGAGACGGAAGAAAGAGAGAAGGAAGAAGAAAGAGAAAGAGAAAGGAAGAAGAGGGGGAAAGGAGGGGGGTGGAGAGGGAGAGCGATACTGTGAGGGGGGAACAAGAGGGGGGTGGGGGTAGGGGGGAGGTGATTGGACACTTTGCGAGGCGCTGTTTTCAATTAGCCGCAATTGCCTCGCCATTTCTTTCTTTTCTTTCTTTTTTTATTTCTTTTTGTTCTTCTCGTTTGGCTTGACCTTTATTGGAATATTCGTCATGTTTCCCGTTCGTTTGGAATAGTTCATTTCGTAAATAACACACACGCACGCACACACATACACACACATACGCACACACACAGACACACACATCACGTACACACACGCACACACACAGACACACACACGCACGCACACACGCACACACACACAGACACACACACGCACACACACACACAAACCCACACACACATACACACATATATATATCAAATACTTATGTGTAGTCTACGTGTGTACACGTATATGTACATGTTAATATTTGCTTTCCCTCCTCTCTTATCCCCCGCCCCTCCCTCCCCCATAACACCTGCCTCAACCCCCAACACCCCTCCCTTCCCCTCCCCCCCCCCATCTCCTGCCCTTCCCTTCCCCCTCACACTCCTCCCACCCCCTCCCCTTCCCCTCCACACCCCCTCCCGGTCCTTTCTCCCCCTTCCCTTCCACACCCCTCCCCTCTTCTTCCCCCCCCTTCCCTTCCCCCTCCTTCTCTCCCTTCCCTCCCCTTCCTCCTTCCCCCCTCCCCTCCCCCCCGACCGCGGTTAACCGACGCCCGACCGCACGGCGTCTGAGTCGACCGTAAGCACACTCTATTTGGTCTCCGTCGGCGTCGTGAGGATCATTAAACCACGCTATGTTTCAGGGTCTTTCTAGTGTATTTTTTTCTCTCTCTTCTTCTTCTTCTTTTTATTCGTTCTTCTTCTTCCTTCTTCTTTTTATTCTTCTTCTCTTAAACCAACCGAATTTCTCTCTCTCTCTCTCTCTCTCTCTCTCTCTCTCTCTCTCTCTCTCTCTCTCTCTCTCTCTCTCTCTCTCTCTCTCTCTCTCTTTTCTTTTTTGTCTTTCCTCTTCGCATAAACGAAGCGAAATTTCTGTGACTTCTCATTTTTTTTTTTACTAAGCTAAGATCCTGTGACTTTTTTTTTATTTTTATACTTAATTTTCAGACTTTTTCATTATCATCATTATATTGTGATGAGAAACTCCCCCCTCCCCCACCATTTTCTCTCTCTTTGAGTCATATTAATATATTAGCGGCAA